GGTGGCTCATGCTCTTATACGATGAAAATCCATCCTCTGTATCTATTTGGTTGTCCCCTAATAACTCTCCTTCATGTTTTCTCTTCCTTCGTCTCTTCTTTCCTTCGCCATTCATCTCATTATCGTCCCTGTTGTACTCACTCCGCTCGTCCATTTCGAAGACATATCTACACACGGTATGCTCATTCACCTTTCTATTTTTTGGATTCGTTTCGTATACATACTCCAGAACGTTTTTCCTGATGTCGTAATAACTCTGCAGTTTAAACAAATTATATATTCTGAACACATAGTCGTTAATGCATAGGTATTGCAAATTCAGTTTGAACAACGGCTTGGTGTAGAGAAAGGTTTTCCTCTTCTTTTTCATGTCGTCCTTCGTGTCTATCAGGACACTATCGAATAGGTCCTTCTCGTTCGGGTACTCACATTGTTTGTCTATCTCCTCAAAGATGTTGCTCTTAAAACTCAAATTTTCGATTAGCACAGTTATGTAGAACAGTTTCTGCTTTCCCCTAAACAGGGTCATATTTTGGAACAGTCGCCCGCTGTCCCTGCTCCATTTGCTCCCCCGGAATTTGCTGTCCCCCTCGACATGATTAGCATTCTCAGCTACGACGTTAGCATTCTCGGCTGCCTGCTCTTCACGCACCAAATACTTCAACTTCTCGCACAGGAACAGCAACTCCCGCTCCTCCAGCTTGGACAGATTCTCCAGCAGCTCCCTCTTCTTGTTCATCAAAAAAACCGACTTCAGGTAGTAATTTTTTAACACCGTGTGCTCCTTAAAATGTTTGTAGCAAAACGTTTGGAAAAACTCAAAGTTTTTGTAATGCTCGTTGCTTATTTCTAGGTAAGTTAATGGCTTCCCCGAAAAATTATTTATATACATTTCCATGTAATATTTTAACAGCTTTATCAGTTCTTTAAACTTCCTTTTCCTGTTAAGACTAGAAATTTTGCAATAAATTAACACATTAAAATGCTTTATAAGAATGTACAGTATCCTTCTCGAGTAAAGCTGACTTAAAAGATCGATAAAAAATTCCACGCACTTCTCAACAAACAAAATTCGAAATTTTTTGTCCTCCCAGGTATGCTTCCTCCTGCTTCTTCTAACCTTACGTGTGTTGTACCTGTGTTTATTTTTCCCCTTTAGCTTTCCTTCATACTTGCGAAACATGCGTAGTATTTCTTCCTTTTTATGTTCGCTGTGGTTCACATAACTTCCATCCTCTTCGTCCTCGCTGTAGATGTACTTTGCGTACGCTTCGACCGACTCGAGGAAGTCTACCACCTCGTCACGGACCCCGTCCTCCCCACTGTCAACGCCTGTAGCATTTATGGTGGCAGCTTCCCCCCCGCCAGATGCAACTCTCTTTGCACGTTTGGCTGAATGCCCATTTGTAGTAACGCCCTCTTCTTCATCGTCCACCGAGTCGTCCGTAACACTCCCCCCTTTATCGCTTGCGTCACTACCCATATCATCCTTCGCGTTGTCATTCGAGGGGACAATCTCTTTCGTGTCCCCCTCACCCACTGGTACAGAATCATCCCCAAGCTTCTCACTACTTAACGGTGACTTGTCCTCATTGGGAATATTACCCTCCTCATCATTAAACATTTCCAAATACTTTTCGCACTCGTCTAGCTCTTCATTTTCACTGTCTGTGTCGCTCCTCGAGGAGATGGAAGAATCACTGGCTAGATCATCCATTTCTTCGGACTCTCCCTCAAAGATGTCCAAAACGATTAGAAAGTAATTTATCAAGTTGTAAAAAAACTCATTTTTGTTAACAAACAGAATGATACCCTCATCATACTCTTCCTTCTTAACATCGTCCTGGTGGACTATACCACAACTGCACGTATACACACCGAGCACGTTGTAACTCCTCCCATTTAAATATTTCTTTTCCATAACCTTTAGCAGATTATTATACAACACTTTCGCTTCTTTGCTCGTCTGAAACAGAAATTCGTTTAAGTAACTGTAATTTACGCAGTTCCAAATGAAGGGGTTGCACAGATCAAGGCACAATTTGAAGAGAAATTTTTTGTCTATACTGGAATAAATATTTATAAAAAACTGTATGACAAAGGATTTCTCCAAAAAGTCTAATTTGAATACACGCCTCGTGCATGTCCTTATAATATCTTCTGTCTCCTCTGTGCTTCCCCCGTTTAGCTTCCCATTTCGCATGTACTCACTAAAAACAAAGTTATAGTTAATCAATTTGAGGGTATTAAAAAATAAGCTCTGAATTTTCTGTACAAGGAATTCCTTATACATATTAAACCGCTCATCAATTTTGTAGTTTTCCTTTGAGGTGTAATTCTTCCTTTCGATTTCCACCAACTTTTCAAATTCGTCTATTCTGTTGTAAATTATCTGATCCCAAATTTCGTATTTCCCCTTCTCCTCATATTTATAGCAAATAAAAACGATAAGCGATAGTATGTGTTTTATGTACAACTTGTATGTACTTTCTTGGGCACCATCCATGCAAAAAAAAACCTCGTTGTTTTTTAGAAGATAGGGCCTCTCGTATATGTTATAATGGGCCCATAATACCTTTTCAAAGTATTGGGCATTTTCTAACCTTTTTAAATGCTTTGGGTTGAAGCTTTTCTTCTTCAAAAAGTCGTACGTTTTGCCTATAAAGCTTAGTCGCTTGGGATCGATCTGAACGTCTCCCTCTTTCGCATCAACACCATCATCGTCTTCGCTGTCGTCCTTTGCGCCATCCGCACCGCAGTGGTTAAGTCCTCCGCCCTCAGTGGCATCCTCATTTTTTTCCTTCTTCTTTTTACAAAAGAGGCAGAAATCTATGTGTTCAATTACGAACCTGAACTTTTGCGGACCTTTTACTTCCCCAGTGATATCCACATCCAGCTCTCCATTTTTCGGCCCTGCCCCCGACTTTACGTTTGCTGACTTGTTCACATTCATCTCATTCTTAGCATTTTTGGAATTACAGTTTTTCTTATCAGAAATGTTGTATGCTTCGTTACCACCTTTATGTACAATATGGCTTTTGTCCTGCCTTATACTTCTACGAACCGTTTGCTAAAAGGGAAGAAAACTTTTTCTCTTTTCCTCAAGGGGAGCGTCCTGCTATTTTGTGGTGATCTGCTTGGACTCTCTTGTTTGTTTTTATTTGCTGCTATTTTTCGTGCGATCTACCCTCCTCCAGGTGTTTCCCTTTTCGCTTTTTTTTTTTTTTGGGGTGGGAATTCCAAGGGAAAATATGGCTTCCTCATTTCGCGCCAACTGATCCTATGCTATGGTGTTTTAGAAAAAAATGCAAGAAATCTAATTTACGCACGCGGCCGTCGCACAAGGTTTTGAAAAGTGCAGTTGGATCTCGCGTGTAAGTTGGGGATTTTCAAAAATAGGCATATGTACATTTGTATCCATCTTTTTTTTTTCTCTCTCTTAATTTAGGTAGTGTTCCATTGCGTTCTTCGTTTTCGTCCGCACAACATATGAACAAAATCGCACCACCGTCGTGCCGCTCACTCGTGCCAGCGCCGAACGTAGTGAAAATGGAGCATCGCCTTTTATGAAACAAATATTGTAAAATTTTCCATGTGTTTACACAGGAATTGTAAAAATAAGCATATATCTTTATGCTTCGTGACACCACTATAGGAGGGTCAACATATAAATATATATTGTATCAATTCTGGTACTTTATTTCATCCTCTGTGGGTCTTAGCTTAAAAGGAAAAGCTAGCCAACGCAAAATAAAATGAAACATTTCGAGGAGTGGGAAAAAAAAACAGAAA